CTTGTTGCAGAGTTGCCAAGTACCAAGTGATGAGACTCCAAAAGTAATCAGTTTGGTACTTGTTGTATTTGCCTCTTCCTTATATTCGGGCATTTGCCTCTTGGGTGTACTTTTGTCATTTTCAGATTTTTTGAGACAACCCCGGGGGCTAGACAAATGCAACTTTTTTTCTTTAAATTAATGTTATCAGGATTCTAGGAGCTGAGGCTTTAAGAAAAAATATAAATACTGCAAGGCTCAAATTTCCAAGAGCTGGCAGCACTATTGTTCTCTTCACTTGTCCCCACAACTTCATTAGGCTGGACCCATAGACTGGTTACTAGCCCTTTTTTTCTGTGGTGTAGAGCAGGGTGGTTCTTGTACACTTGTAATGCACCATACATGCCTTATTATAGAAATAATGAAATAAAAATCTTCTTGGATTCTAAACTTTGAGACTTTCATAGCCAAAGATGTATATATTTTTTATTTGCACTCCTTTCTCTGGTTCTGCAGAAGCATCAAGCATAGCCTGTGATTAAACCTAGTTGATGCTTTTGTAACACAGCTGATTTTTTTTGTGCTGTTTGTGCATCTCACACAACAACATAGTTGCAAGAATGTTACAGAAGGTGAGCAAGAGAGTTTGGGATACTGAACTATCAAGTTGCTAACAGTGGGTGCCAGTAGGGATATTGGGTGAAGGCAGCACAGAAGCTATGAATTTGGGCCTGCTGTTAAAAATGGGTGTGGATTGCATTTCAGATTCAGTCATAACAATAAAAATGATAATACTTAGCCTCATCCAGCACTAAAAAAAGGCTGGTGAAAATAACATTAACCCCTTTATAACCCCACTTTATGAATGGAGAAAAAAATACAGAAAAATGATGTGAGTCCTTCAAAATCATGTAACACATTTATGGCAGAGGCTGGAATGGAACCTAGCCCATGACTCTTGTGATACCTGGAACAAATACCTATATCCTATAGGAAGGAAATTAGGTAAATAGCAAAAAACTATAGTAATTTCAGGTTTATATGGGCTAAGTACAGACAGCAAAAAACCTGTGGAATCAAGTCAATCTATGTAGCTTTCTCTAAGCTGTGTAGATTGGACTGTTAGCAAATGCCTACACTGGCCAAGGCCAGAAGGCAGGGGTAGGGCCCTGAGAAAATTGCAATTTTGAAGACTGCACAGAAACCACAATATTCACCCTACACCACAAGTTTTAAAGGTTGCAAGCATAGGCAGAGGAAGGCTGGAGCTAACGGGGACCTCAAATGCAGGGCAGCACAGAGGGCCACAAGGCGGCATAGAGGGCCACAGGGCAGCCCGGGTATGGGCTCTGGGCAGCTGCCGGAGGGTGGGGAGGGGTGTACACAGACAGACATGAAGCCTGCAGGTGGGTGGGATTGAAGCCAGATGGTATACAGAGCACTGTCCACCACAGCAGGTAAACTGGGGAAGGGGAAGGAGAATGGGTGGAGCCCTGCGTTTGGGGGTGCTAAGACCCACTACCCCCAGCCCTCCACTGCCTATGGCTGTGTGCCTGCCTGCTGTTGGTTAAGTATAATTTTTCACACAATATTTATGGAACTACCCGGACCCATTTGCCAAGATCAGTGTTAGTTCCGTGAATGCTCCGTGAAAAATGATACTTTGCCCACACACATGCAGCAAATTTTTGACAAGAAATTCGTGATTTTCTCAGGACTCTAGGTAGGGGCCACTACCACATACCTCTCAGCTCTGCCAGGCTGTGAATGCCCCAGCCCCGCCCCACTTGCCAGCCCCTACCTGTCAGCCACGAGAGGAGGGGGGAAGGGACTTGACGCTTCCTCCAGCCACCCAGCTGGGGTCCGCACAGTGGGTGTGGGGGAAAGCCTTCAAGGTGGAGCATGGCTCAGCCAGTGCAAGGCACCAGCCCTGCCCCCTTGCCAGCCCCCCTCCCATCAGCTGCGGGGGGACAGTTGAGGGGAAGGAATGAACCCCCACTCTGGCCCCATAGCCAGAGTCTGCACAGTGGGGGGAAGCTCCTGAGGATGATAGATGTGGGGCTGGTGAGGTGGTGGAGCTAGGGTGTTTGGGACTCAGTGGAGCTTTGTTGTAGAAGGGAAAGGCAGGGGCTTTTCTTTCTATAACATGGTTCCACTGGGTAGCGAATGCCCCAGCCCTGCCCCCTCACCAGCCCCCCACCTGTCATCCCCAGGGGCTTCCCATCCCACCTACTGTGCACAACCCAGGTAGGGGGCCAGAGTGGGGGTCCCTAGCCCCCGTTGCAGTTGACAAGCTTACCTGCAAGGGGGCTTAGTGGAGGCTCCAATGCATCCTAGGATGTAGGGGGATTGAGACCTAACTTGTTTCAGGAGGAGAACTGGGACAGAAGTTTGGTAGACCAGTTTAACCAAAATCAGTTAAGTCTAATGCTACATCCATCTAGGTCTACCTTAAACTGGTTCGGCCATTCTGAAGCTAGTAGATTTGCACTGAACTTCTGTTCTGTTACGGGTTTAAACCAGTTTGTGATCACTTATCTCGCTTTATATGTAATATGTGTCCCTAGCCTTAATGTTTGATGTCTACAGGATAAGGAAAAGTTAGTATTTTCTTGTCATGATTCACTTAATAGGAATTTTCTGGCCTATATAGGAGAACCTAAATACAAGGGAAACCTGTGGATGAGAACAAATAGGTAATGAGGGAAATAAAGTAGAATCCAGGCAATTTATAGCCAGGTAGTTTGCAGGGCACTTAATTTACAGTGAGTTGCCATATAAAGGACAAATTGCATGGCTGTTTGCTGTGGTTTTTAGTGCAAAGAGTACTGCTTTTCCACTCACCTGGAGCACCTCGTTGGTCCCCCACAACTATTTGCCAACACTGTATAGGAACTCCAGCTGATTCAGAAAACCTCATCTTCTCAAGGACTATGAAAATCAACTCTAACTATTGGGGGTTCTTCTGTATTCAAGTTTTGTAGTAATCTTAAAGCCAATTGTTTACTTAAGCACTTCGTCAAAATTCAACCTTTCCTAAAATTGTTACTTATTGCCTAGACAAGAAATACAGCAAAATTAATTCCTGAAGCAGGTTGTTCCTTTATGATTACAGCAAAAATAATTGTTTACTTTTTCTGAATTTTATTTTTTGTGAATTATCTATGAACAGGCAGAATGCTACTGCAGCATAGATATTAAGTATCAATAATAACTTCAGTTTCCTTATTATTCTACATTTTTCATGCAGCCAGGCATGCAAGTATTTTGCTGCATACAAGTTGTTTCCTAGCTATTGGCTTCAAGTCGTGACTCTTGGTCATTAGTAGTGGTTGATGGACTAGTCACTCAAGTCAAGTGGGATATTTTCTGTTTCACAAGACCGGCTATTCATGACCATCCTTCCAGACAAAAAAAAAAAAAAAAGTATGAAAGTTGATTGAAAATGAATGAAGGGAAGGGAAAATGTATTGAATGTTCTCCAATTTTTTTTCAGTATTCACTGAGTGCTTGGTAATAGCAGCCTATAAGGCAGGGGTAAGCAAAATACAGCCCACAGGCCAGATCTGGCCTGTCAGCTGATTTGATCCGGCCCAGGGGTGGACAGTCGCCAACCTACTGAATCTGGCCTGTGGGTGATCAGCGGCTTCTGCCGCCGCATGATGCTGGGGGGAGGGAGACTGCTTCCACCCTGCAGCATCAGGTATCAGCTGTGGACCTGTGTGGGGCTTCTGTCATAGTGGGTGTGTGGCGGCATTGGCTGTGGACTCTGTGGGCAGGATCAGGAGTTTGAATGCAGAACCTCCTGGCAGCACCCACAACTGGTTTGCCACCCTCCCGGCAGGGTGGAAGCTGCTGCCAGGAGCCCTGACCCAGAACCTGCCAACTACATCAGCTGTGGATCCAGGCAGGAGCTGCTGCCACTCTGAGTAGGCGGCAGTCTCTCTTTCTGTTTCTTCTGTTCTATCTGTCTCTCTCGTCTTTCCTCCCTCCAGAACCTGACCAAAGCTGCAGTTTGCCAGGAGCCCTGGCACTCAGCTGTAGACCCAGGCAAGAGCTACTGCTGCGCTGAACAGGCAGCAGCATCAGCTGTGACACTGCTGGCAGGTTATGATGCTACAGCCTGCCCAGCATGGCAGAAGTTGCTGTCTGGGTCCTCAGCTGATTGTTGGAGCTCCTGGTGAACTACAGCTTTATCTGTGTTCTGGAGGGAGGGGGAGGGAAGAGGAGAGAGAGAGAAAGAGAAAGAGAGAGAGAAGAAGAAAAGTGAGGGGGGGAATGGGGGGGGAGAGTGACAGAGTGGGAGAGATACATGTGGTCCTTGACAAGTGCCCACAAGTCATAGTAAGTGGCCCTCCAGCTGAAATAATAGCCGGCCCTGCTGTAAGGACACTTTGCATGACTACTGAAACAGCATGTAATGAAGCACACACTGCCAGTAAACATTCTACTATCTCCCTTTACAGTATTTCATTTATGATTAAAAAGCGTTTCCTAGAAATCACAGCCCTTTGCTGATGGAATCCATAAAGTTGCTTTGTTTTGCTACAGATAGGCTGGTGTTTTGTGTATTTTTGCTTATCCATGTAAGTGGAGTTTAGGGGTTTGTTTGTTTATTTTTAATGACACTTAACACTCAGCAAGCACCCTCCATCAAGAAAATGAACCAGAACAGTGTGGCATTTAACTGAAAAAAAATATTTTTCTGTCAGGCCAATATATCCTGATACTTACCTCAACAGAGTTCAGTATCTACTTCTCATATCCATTTTACACATGAGCAGATCTTAGGTGCAAAGTGATGAAGTCACTCTTCAAAAGTTGCACAGTAATTCTTTGGCAGAGCTGAGAGAGGTGGGGCTGGAATTGCAGTGAATTGCTCCATGCATTGTCTTTTGACCAGTTACATACCATGACTTGTTTGGCATCTCCTCCCTTTGAGATTTGTACTGATAGATTGTTTATTGAAATACTGTAGGTTAATGCTGAGGATATACATATAACAGACTGTTTTAATGCAGGTAAATGAATCTTGTTATGTGAGGACGCCGAAGAAGACAGCAGCTACTAAGGGGAGGAAGCCACTCGTGTAACACTCAGGTAGGAAGATTCCTGTCACTAGTTAAAGGGTAAAATAGGCTTTCTCCCTTTTCCAGAAAGTGCACTGTAGTTGATGCTTTAGCCAGTGATCTAGTCACATTTATGGTTCATTTAAAAAGCAGTTCTATGTGGTCAGTTGGTTGCAATGACATATCACTGCAAGCGAAGCCCTCAGCATAAACATTCCTTGGGCTATCCCTGGTATAAGTCTGTTGATTCTAGTGTACAGCACAAACAAATGACTCTTTGCACTGGAGATTCCAGCCATAAAAGAGAGCAATAGTATGTTCTACATGATCCCAGTAAACATGCACTTCTAGTAAACATATTAAAATTCTCTTAGTAGAACTGAACAGTTCCATTAAGCCGTCACTACAACGTTGTTTTTGGTATTTCATATCCAGGTTTAGGAGGAACAAAAAGTACACAAGAGTTAATTTTTGTGCTTATTAGACATTTTCTTTCAAACTTGATTTTCTTCCCTTTCTACCTATCTTTAAGCATTTCATTACATGACATTTATGTAACAAATGGTTGTTCCATCTTTGCTTTTGGCTTCATGCTTTTAGTTTTAGGACATTTCAGGAAATCTCAAATGTTTTTATGATCTGAACCACATTTTAATTGTCTTGTGGACCATCTACTCTTCTGGTGAATAATCATTGGTTACCTATAGATGTGCAATCAAAGCAGCACTAAAAGTGACATTCTGTTTTAATTAGAATAGACCCGCATCACCTCACTGTCACATATATTAAGCCCCCCCTCCCCTCCCACCATTTTAAAATGGCCACGGGGGCACTTTAACTAAAGCTTGTCAAATGAACTTTATTTAAAGTGCCCCCATGGGCATTTTAAAATGTAGGAGGCTTAATACATGTGACGGTGAGCCGTTTTAATTCCAGCGGCTGTTGGAGAAAATGACCCCTCCCCACCCCTGACATGTATGTAGACACCCTTTCGTTCTATTCCTAATAATATTTCTGACAATTACTTATCTAGGGTAATCAAGTATCAAATCATGAAACATTTAATACTTTGAATGTTTGTAATACAATTTTAGCCATTAGAAATGAAGAGGAGTCATTTCCATGTGGCCATCCAGTTTTGTGCTGAGCATCAGTCAATGATCAGTGGACCATAATTCAAGAATCCACTTCCAAACAAGATGCAATTAAAGACCAAATATGGCTGTGTGTGTGTGAACACACTCACATATGTATGTATATTTGTAGATGTTTGCATGCATACATATGCATCTATATAAAATGATCATGAGATTTCTCCCACTGATACATATTGCTGAGGTAGAGGTGGTTTACCTAATGGCCTGTGTTAATCAACATTTGCTTTCTAACACCACTTCTAAACTACAAAGGAGAAAATGTTAAGGATCAATATTTAGAAGATGAAGGCAAGGTTCTAGTGAAAATGTTCTTCTAGCAGTAAATGCCATCCTAGCTTTACTTCTGATAATTAGAAATATTTCTGACATGGCCACTGGAGCACATCAGTAGTATGTCTGCCATTTCCTGTGCTTTTGTGAATTTTTGTGCTTTTTAAACTAAATCATATATTCTGCTGACATCAAATAACTGCAGCACAATTCATTCTCACTTTGACACCTTGTATTAATACTTTTAAATACCTATAAAATTACTTACAACGGTGGAAGGATATTATTCCAGCTTGTATTGTAAACTAGCTTGGTCACACTTAGCCAGACTCACATAAAGCAATTCCTAGGATGTATTTTTGCAGGGGAAGCTTTAATGATAGGACTAAGAAATGGTGCAGAACAAGAATGACAACCCTTCTTTAGAATGCACCAAAACATCTGTGTAGTTCTACTCTAAACAGTGTGTTTTATTTTATATCCAGGTTTGATCATGGACCTAAGACTTTAGTATTTCAATATAAAACTGTGTCCAACTACGAGCCATAACATGTAGCCCAATAATCTTTAAACACAACTTAGTGTTAAAATCAGACGGCTTAAAATCTACATTAGTTCTCCTTGGCTTTGGATTCTGGCTGAAAGCAGGGGAAAAAATCTCTTTTCTATTCCATGAAGAAACTCAAGGGAAAGAAGTTCCTTGCTGTGCCTTCAGGTCATGTGGTCTCACTGCTGTAGAGTTGGAATGTTTGCTATGGTATTTCCGGAGGTTTCATAAACACACGGGAGGAACAGCATCCCCCTCCCTTTCCCTTCTCCTCCCCAGCACAAGATTACTATTTGGGTGTTTTAAGAACAGACAATTAGGGTTTCTGATACAAACTATGTAAGTCAATTTGAATATGCACAGAAAAAAAGAAAAAGAAAAAAACAGAAAAGGAGTCAGGATTTTTTAAATTGTTGTTGCACTTGTTTATAGGAATAAATCAGCTCTTACTGAAATGCAGTTTTTGACAAACTACATATTAAAGCAAACCCCTCAGTTCAGATGCTCTCAACAATTCAGTTTTGGCATGTGTCACCATAAGCGGCATTCTGTTATCTGACTTGATAGCTGTCATCTTGCAAACTAGAGTAATGCAAACAAAACATGATCACTCAAACAAGGTTACAGTGAAGAGCCATCTAAGTCTTGCTGTTGCAGTGTAGAATCCCCAAGTCAAATTAAGAGCGCTGAATTAGTTCTGGCTCCTGGGATCCTAGAATTAAGATTATGCAAACCTACCCTTTCTAACAATAAGACTAGCACACATTCCTTTTGAGACTTGTAAATACCAATCCAGACTGTGATGGAGTGTCAGAGCCACAGGATGGGGCCATTCCACATGAGTGACTAGTTGGGAAAGCTTTATCACCCCACCACCAACTTTACTGATAAGCAAGATAAGTGATCAATTTAAAGGCAAATGCATTGGTCCCATAACAATTGGAAAAGTGGCAGCATATGCCACGGTGGTTGTCTGTATTACAAAAGTACTCTGCTCCCAAGACCCAGTGTTGAAACAGCTCACAGAATTTTGTAACTGAGATGTACACAGCAATGAAGGACCATTCTTGTCCTGAGATTAGCACATACAAGCATCTTGTTGGACAAGTAATTTTCCTTCAGCAAATCTGGACTGAATGCAGCAATTCTCTAGACTTACCTGAAGATGTGTTTGTGTTTTTTTATTTTCTATGCTTATTGGAAAATCCTAAATACCTTCCATGACAGCAGTGTTAAGAAATTTAAGAAGTTATGGTTAGAAGTCTTCCTGATGTTTTCAGGAATTTTTGTTGGGGAAAGAACCAAAAATAGGTTTTCAAAACCTTTCATTTCTTTGAGTTTTCATTGAAAAACTGGAAATTCTTGAAAGAAAATATTTTTTTCTGTGTAAATATCCATATTATAAACCAAAGGTCATTTTTCATTCTGTATTTTGACCACTTCTAGAGACTGCCATGAAAATTAGTTTTTCTGTCAAAGCTTGTCCATTCTGAATGGTGCGGGAAAAGGAAGTGTTAATTGTCCTCATTTTGCAGATGTGGAACTGAAGAGAAATTAATGACCAGATTTTAAAAAAATATTGACATGTTATTCCAAAAGGGATTGAATGCCTGGACACCTTTTTAAAAAATTGCCCCCATTGACAAGGTCAAACAAAAATCTCTCTGAGTTTGGAACTGAATCCCTAGCTTCTTCAACCCAGATCAGCCCATTAACCACAAAGCCTTCTTCCTTAGTAGCTCATGTATAACCCTGTTTTTGCACATACAGTCACAATTACTTTATTAAAATTGGACTATCATCCTAAATACTTGATACTCTCAGGTTTGCCTCTGCTATTAGCACTGCACACCTATGGCTCATGTCTTGGGCTTAAGGAGAAAGAGTTACAGGCAGAGGAAGCCTCTTTGATCAGAGGCAAAAAGAGGAAGGTGGATGAAAAGAACTTTTAGATGGTAAGATGAGAAGGCAAAGGGAAATGCAGAATAGTGAAATCAAGGATTGGATAAGAGCAAAGGGCTAGAGCTGTGGCAGGGCCAGGGAACTGAGAGGAAAAATAGGAGGGAATAAAAAGAGAAGGGAGGTAAATACTAATTTAGAGCAGAAGTAATTTGTCTTGAGAGGAATAAATGTATCAAACATGGGGTCCCTTTTTTAATGCAAGATGGCAAAAAAACGCAGTAAGTCTTTGGGAAATGCTTCCCCATTTTCTTCATACTTCGTAAAATTATATAGAAAGATTTTGGGAAATGCTTACTTGGCCACAGTATCTTTTTTTGTTTTTTTTAACTCTTCTGTCAAAGTTTGAAATCTGTCAGTTGCAGCTGAAGCCTCCCTTGAGCCTAATAGTTAATAATTCTGTTGTTTTCTTGGACACCTTCACTCATTGCAAGACTATTTCCATGACAAGATAGTAAAATTTCAAGTGGGCTTTAGGAATGGAGTGTTCCCCATATTTTTTTTATCCTGCTCAAAAGGTTTAGTTGAAGAATCTAGAGCAAACTTCTGGGTTCTGAGGATTAAACTGTATTAAAGTTAAGTCCGTTCCTCTGCTGGTGTGGTATGGTCTAAAGAAAGAGTACTCATTGGCTTGTGACTAGAAAATCAATGGGTGCCTGTAGATGTGCTGGGAGGCTGCTCCAGCGTGCTATAGTTGCAGCATGTCAGAGCAGACTCGATTAATTGAGACTCTCTGCATCTCATCTATCAGCATCCTCACGCTTCAGAATGGTGGCGGGGTGGTTTAAGTAAAGCTTGTTTGATGAGCTTTAGTTAAAGTGTCCCTGCCCCCATTTTGAAGCATGGGGATAATGATACATAGGACTGTGCAGGCGCTTTAATTGGAGTGGCTCTGGGAGCCGCTCTAATTAAACTGACCCCCCCTCCCCCCCGAAGCGCATATAAAAACGCCCAGAGTGAGCAGATAACAATCTGCAGATAATACTAAATTATTGTGGACTTCTACATGTAAAAAGACTTTTAATAATCAGATTAAATAAACATTTTCAGAACTTTAAGCATACATTTCCTTAAATCTTTGTACAAAGGAAGTGTGTT